GCACAGTGAACACACACTGTTAACTACCACTCAGGCCAAGAAATAGAACATTGCCAATATCCTAGGAGTACCTCCATTCCCTCATGAGGTGACATTTGAATTGAGACCTGCATACTAAGTAGGCAGCCGTGCAAAGATCTAGGTTCAGAGTGTTTCCATAAAAGAGGAGAACAATTGAGAAAGCAGGAAGAACTTGGCATGTTTGCGGAACAGCAAGAAGGCCAGTTTGTACCAGTTTGTTGATTTAGCACAGCAATATTTGAGCTGTGTGTTTGTAATATGACTCTCAAATTGAGATGGGAAAGAAAGCCACACTTTGATTGTACCTGGTATCCAAGCCCCATCTATAAGTAAGTTGGGCTGTTAGGATCCCAAAGTAACTTGGAGCAGAGAGTCTTAGCAGGAAAATCTTTGGGTATTTTATTGATTACGTAGTGTCCACCACATCCAAGGAGGGCAGTTATCCTAGTCCATGCCCAACTCAGATGTGAGGACTTGCACAAAGATTTTATAACCTCCCACATTACAATAATTCTCTTAGATTTTTTTTTCCCCAATTCCATCAACCTCCCTGCTTTCACCATGGCAACCCATTAAACAAGAGCTCCTCCTGTCATCTGGTCCAGAGCCCTGGTCTTATTCCAGGATTTCATCATGACGATGTGCTTGAAAATCCCAAGTTACCTAAACCTTTGAATATAGGTTGGGTTGATTTCTGAGAAAGGACGTAGGGAAATAACAGAGATAATAGGAGGTACTTACATAAATGGAAACAGTAGGAACACTGGGGAAGTTGCCACACAAACAAGTGCCCTTCAGAGCTGTTATGTTCAGGGGAGGTGTGTCAGATTGTTTTCTTCCCACCCTCGTGAAGTTTTACTTCTGCTTTAACATTAGAGTGTCCCACAAGTATTAATATTTTCTTGTATGAAAAACACTCGTTCAGAACTTGACAAATGAACACTCCAGTGTGGTGGTCATGCCTTCATACTGGTTTGCAAATTAACCTAATTTGCCCTCCATCCCCGCTGTCTATGCAGAGGCTCCATGTGGGCCTTGCCACTCTTTAGGGTGTGTTTCTGATGAGTTCAGAGCATAGTCACTGATTCAGTGTTCATACTGTGCTACCATGGGGGGACTCTGCAGGTTTGTGACTGCTCCTGTGGTGGACGCCGCTGCTATTAGATAGGCACAGCCAGGGACACCGTTCCGTGCCAGTGTGAATGGCTGTGACTTCTCCCACAGTTCTTCCCTGGCTGCCCCCAGCCTTCAGATGCCAGCAATGTATGGAGGAGGACTGGCTTCTTTACTTCCATTCTGCTCTCTTAGAGGGTCCCCAAGCAGAGGTGTCTGAGCTCAAGGTGCTTGTTTCTTTACAGCCTTTTGCTCGACAGAAGAATCTGACACTTTCCCACTGGGGGCTGAGTCAAGAGACAAATTAGAACGACAAATACCTGGCTGGGGTCAGAATTTTCCCATCCTAAGGAGTTTCTTAAAACTTAACAAGATTTTTCTTCCCTTAGAATATGTTCCTGGGGTACCTGGGGTGCCAGGTTGAGTGTCTGACTCTTTTTTTTTTTTTTTTTAATATTTTTATTTATTTCTAGGAGAGAGAGAGAGACAGCGTGAGCAGGGGAGGGTCAGATAGAGAGGGAGATACAGACTCTGAAATAGGCTCCAGGCTCTGAGCTGGCAGTCAGCACAGAGCCCAACATGGGGCTCAAACCCACGAACCGCGAGATCATGACCTAAGCGAAAGTCAGACGCTTAACTGACTAAGCCACCCAGGCGCCCCTTGAGTGTCTGACTCTTGAGCATCTGACTCTTAATCTCAGCTCAGATCTTGGTCTCAGGGTTGTGAGTTCAAGCCCTGTGTTGGGCTCCATGCTGGGCGTGAAGCCAACTTAAAAAAAATATGTTCCTTTCAAGGAAGCACCTTAGCCTACCTCCATGCAGATATCTGTCCGCCACTTCCCATTTGCCAGGTGTGTCCAGACATCCGGACTCTCCAGCCTGGATACAGCACTGGGTCTTTCTCAGGGTGACTCTCTAGCTCACTGATGGTTCACTGTACATGCCCAGGAAGGCCTGGATCTTGCAGCCTTGAGCTGGGAGCCCCTACTCCTTTTAAACAATGTTCAATGCATTTTTTCTTTTTTTCAATCAGCAAAACCCTGATCCTTGTCTTGACAAGTCATGTCCCAACAAGAGAAGACTGTCCTTGCCGTCAAGTCAAACCACGTTAACATATAAATCTCCTTGGGAAGTTGAATCATTTCTTTAGGTCAGTTTTTGTGAGGAGGATGGGGAAAGGCAGTGGGCTCCTAACTGATCTCTCAGACCAGAATCTCACCCCTGTAATTTATCTGCTTGCATGGGGCCATTTGAGTAATCTTTCTAAGGTACTGAGTCACACCTCTGTTTTTAAAACTTGTGCTGCTTGCCCATCACTTAAGGGCCAGTTTCCTTTCTGATCCTTCTTGATCTAGTGGCCACCTTACTTTTCCGGATTTTACTTCCCCTACTTCCTTCTGTGTGCCATACTTGCTATCATGTCAGGCTGCTCCAAGCCTGTACCTTTCCTCATGCTCTTCCCTTTGTCTAGTATGCTGCCCGTCACTCTCCCTTTATTACCTGGCCTACTTCTCAGCCTTGAGACCCAGCTCGCATGTCCTCCTCTACGCAGCCCTTCCCTCCTGATATCTTAAGTTGTTTCCTTACCGCAGGGAAGGCGTCCCCAGCAGGACAAGCCAGCAGGACTGGCTCACAGTATTGCCACAGAGTCCAAGTTCTACTTTGTAGTTGGTTGTTCCTGGTGTGACTCTCTGTGGGGCATGGGGCATAGATTTTCTCCTGGTCTGGTTGTGTTTGTGTAATGCAGTTCTTCTTATTTGGTTTCTGGGGCCCAGCGTGCCGTCCATTAGTGCAGAAGGGAGTTGCCTCTTCGTGCGAGATCATCAGCCCCTTTAATCCTCCTTTGTAACTAACTAGATTAGGTCAGACTTCACCGTGTGCCTGGAGGCTTCCTATGGGTCTCATTTCAAATAACAGAGGGAATGTCATAGTAACCAACCCTCCCAGCCGCCCTCAGCAACATATTTGTTTTTAAAACAGTTTAATAGAATAATATTCAGGGAAGAAACAGGAACAAGAGGGAGAAAAGAACCCAAAACAGCCTCCCAAATTCACAAGACAGCTAATGCATTAAGTATATCCAAGGACTCTCAGCTACTAGGTCTACGGGAGAACAAGAAAGGGGTGGGTGCCTGAACTGACTGGGCAGATGAAATATTGGATTGCCAGTGAGGAGGACCCATTGTCAGTAGATCCCATTAATCAAAGCCCAAGCCACTGCTGGTTAACCAGGTATTAAAGCAGTAAGAGGCAGATGCTGAGTGTGGGGGGCGGGGAGCAGTAGGGTCGGGATTGGGGTGGTATGAGTGAGGTATGAGGTGGAGGATTGAAATCTTGGAAAATCAGAGCTGAGGCCCTTAGAATGAGCCAGATTCTCTGGCCTGTGCTGTTAATATCATTCCTCTGTTAAAAAAAACCCTGCAATGCTACCCTTTTATAGCCACTTCCCTCCCAACCCCTGTCTCTCCCTCCTGGCAACCACTATCCAACTCTGGTATTGTCATTTCAAGAATGTTCAGTAAGTAGAAGCGTATTGTCTGTAACTGTTTTGAGGTAGGCTTTTACACTGAGCATAATTCCCCTGTGTATCAATAGTTTATCGTCTTCTATTGCTGAGTAGTATCCCATGGTATACATGTACCACTGTTCATTTAACCATTCCACAGAAGGGCAGTACAGGGGATTCTTGTGATGGAATTAGTTTGTATCTTGACTGTGGTGGTAGCCCCCTGAATATACACATGTGATAAAATTGCATAGAACTAAGCATGCACACACATGAGTAGGTGCACAAGTGCTGGAATTTGGATAAGGTGGGAGGATTGTGCCAATGCTAATTTTTCTTTTTTTCTTTTCTTTCTTTTTTTTTCTTTTTTTACAAATAGTTTGTCAAGTTGCTTTCCATATAACACCCAGTGCTCATCCCCACAGCCAATGCTAATTTCTTAATTGTGACTCTGTGCTATAGGTCTAGAGATGTCAACATTGGGAGAGACTGGGTGAAGGATATATTGGATTTATCTATATTGTTTCTTACAACTACATGTGAATCTACAATTATCTCAGAAAAAAAAAAAGCAATTGGTGGCACTGTCTGTGGAACAAAGGATAAAACTTTTGGTCTGGCGTTCAAGGCCCTTTCATACTCTGGGTCCACCCTCCCCTGCCTTCAGTCTTCTCTCACCACTTCAGCAAGGCTGACCTGTTCAACATTCCTATACCAGTCACTTTTCTTTAAAGTAAAATTTTCTTTCTTTTTTAAAATGTTCATTTATTTATTTTTGGGAGGAAGAGAATGTGAGTAGGGGAGGGGCAGAGAGAGCGGGAGAGGGAGAATCCCAGGCAGGATCCAGCTTGGAGCTCAATGTGGGGCTCGATCTCAGGAAATGTGAGATCATGACCTGAGCCTACGTCAAGAGTCAGACACTTAACTGACTGAGCCACCCAGGCATCTCAAACTTGTCTTTTTAATTGAGATGTAACATTCAAATGGAAAAGGGGTCAAATCACAAAGATTAAGCTTAATGAATTTTTATAATATGAACCCACTCACATAACCAGAACTAGATCAAGAAGTAAAACATCACCAGGATTCCAGAAACCTTCTTCCCCTCCTCCTCCCGTCCATTTACTACCCTACAATGGATAATTGCTATCTGATTTCTATCCAATATATTGTTTCTTTCCTGTTTTTAAATTTCAAATAAATGAATTCATAGATTCATTTTAACTAGCTTTTGTTCAACATTTTGATTAGATTTATTCATGTTGCATGTAGCAGTGATTCATTATTATTGCTGTATAGCATTTACTCTAATGTGTGAAACAACTACAGTTATACCATTTATACATGCTACGATCAATGATTATTGGGTTTTTTAAAATTTTTATTTTCTTTCTGGATTCAGATCCTTTAATTGCATGTGCTGACAGAAGGCCAGGCCTCCCTCATCTATGGGCGGCATTGGAGTCTAGAGGAGGGGGCTGGCTCGGGGACCCAGGCCTCAGCACTTCTTAACTTGGGGCGTCTGAATGACCCAAGAGGAGACATTCTCCTCAAGGAGGCGGCTGAGGTGCTGGTTGCTGCCCAGTGCCCTCTTCACGTGCTCTGGGGTGATGCGCATCTTGTGGTTACTGAGAGCCTCCTTGCCTGCCAGATCCAGGATGTTGGATGTCAGGTACTCCAGAACGCCGGCCAGGAAGACTGGTGTGGCCCGGCTCAGGCGCTGGGCGTAGCAACCCTCTCGCAGGAGCCGCTCCACACGGCTGACTGGGAACTGCAGCTCGGCTCTCCTGGAGCGGGAGAGAGCGCGCCTCCGACCTCTGGAAGAGTTGCGGCGGCCTCGCCTCCCAGACATCATGTTCTTTGCTGGGTTCTGTCCTGCTGGCCTGGGTGCATCAGTGTGCACCACTGGATGCCAGTGCCTTCTCCTACCAAGTGTGCCCCTCACCCGTCAGGGAGCTGCCTATATGAAGGCTCAGACATTGTGATGTCAGTGGTGTCACCACACCCTGTTCAGGACTGGCCTAGAAACATCTATGACAGAAACCTGGTCTCCCCATTGACTCGACCCTCTTTATGAGGGAACCCTTTCTTCTTGCCTTCACCGGTCTAGTACAAACGAGAAAATGTATGTTTTAATGGATACACTGCCCTGTCTTTAGGACATCCCACTCCAGGTTATCTGGTCCTAGCCTTCCATTGTCTTCTAGCTCTTGTACAGCCCTTTATAAATCGCTGGTTACTGACACGCATACTGAATGCTTTGTCCAGTACAGGTCCAAAATAAAACCAATTTTTCCCCTAGTTACCCCTTTAAATATTATCAGTATTTCTATGTTCTTTGGATTCTCTTTTTCTTTTTTCTTTTCTTTTCTTTTTTTTTTTTTTTTACAAATAGTTTATTGTCAGGTTGGTTTCCATTTAACACCCAGTGCTCATCCCCACAAGTGCCCTGCTCCATGCCCATCTCCCCCCTCGCCCCCCACACCTGTCAGTCCTCAGTTTGTTCTCAGCATTCAAGAGTCTCTCATGGTTTGCCTCTCTCCCCCTCCCCCACTATTTCCCCCTTCTTCTCCCCTGCGGTCCTCCGTTAAGTTCCTCCTAATCCTCCTATACGTGCAAACATATGGTATTTGTCCTCTGACTTATTTCGCTCAGCATAACATGCTCAAGGTCCATCCATGTTGCTACACATTACCAGATTTCATTCTTTCTCATTGCCATATAGTATTCCATCGTATATATAAACCACATCTTCTTGATCCATTTGTCCGTTGATGGACACTTAGCCTCTTTCCATGTTTTGGCTATTGTTGAGATTGCTGCTATGAACATTGGGGTACATGTGCTCCTATGCATCAGCATTCCTAAATCGCTTCGGTAAATTCCTAGCAGTGCTATTGCTGGGTCTTAGGGGAGTTCTATTGTTAATTTTTTTGGGAATCTCTGCACTGTTTTCCAGAGGGGCTGCACCAGTTTACATTCCCACCGTTTCTCCACATCCTCGCCAGCATCTCGAGTTCTCTGATTTGCTCATTTTAGCCACTCTGACTGGCGTGAGGTGGTATCTCAGTGTGGTTTTGATTTGTATTTGCCTGATGAGGTGGGATGCTGAGCATCGTTTCATGTGTCTGTTGGCCATCTGGATGTCCTCTTTGGAGAAGTGTCTGTTCATCTCTTCTGCCCATTTCTTCACTGGGTTGTTTGTTTTTTGGTTGTGGAGTTTGATGAGTTCCTTATAGATTTTGGATATTAACCCTTTATCTGAAATGTCATTTGCAAATATCTTTTCCCATTCCGTTGGTTGCCTATTAGTTTTGTGGGTTGTTTCCTTTGCTGAGCAGAAACTTTTAATCTTGATGAGGTCCCAATAGTTTATTTTTGCTCTTGATTCCCTTGCTTTTGGGGATGTGTCAAGTAGGAACTTGCTGCGGTGGAGGTCAAGGAGGTTGTTTCCTGCTTTCTCCTCTAGGGTTTTGATGGTTTCCTGTCTTACAGGTCCTTTATCCATTTGGAGTTTATTTTTGTGTATGGTGTTAGAAAATGTTCTAGTTTCATTCTTCTGCATGTTTCTGTCCAGTTCTCCCAACACCATCTGTTAAAGAGGCTGTCTTTTTTCCATTGGATGTTCTTTCCTGCTTTGTCAAAGATTAGTTGGCTGTATACTTTTGGGTCCACTTCTGAGTTCTCAATTCTGTTCCATTGGTCTGTGTGTCTGTTTTTGTGCCAATACCATACTGTCTTGAGGATGACAGCTTTGTAGTAGAGGCTAAAGTCTGGGGTGGTGATACCTCCCATTTTGGTTTTATTTTTCAGTATTACTTTGGCTAGTCAGGGTCTTTTGTGGTTCCATACAAATTTTAGGATAGTTTGTTCTAGTTTTGAGAAGAATGCTGGTGCAGTTTTGATTGGAATTGCATTGAATGTGTAGATTGCTTTGGGTAATAATGACATTTTAACTATATTTATTCTTCCAATCCATGAACATGGAATGTTTTTCCATTTCTTTGTGTCTTCTTCAATTTCCTTCATAAGTTTTCTATAGTTTTCATCATACAGATCTCTTGTTTCCTTGGTTAGGTTTATTCCTAGGTATTTTATGGTTTTTTGTGCAGTTGTGAATGGGATCATTTTCTTGATTTCTCTTTCTCTTGCTTCATTATTGGTGTATAAAAATGGAACCAATTTCTGTACATTGATTTTGTACCCTGCCACTTTGCTGAATTCTTGGATCAGTTCTAGTAGGCTTCTGGTGGAGTCTGTGGGGTTTTTTAGGTAAAGTATCATGTAGTCTGTGAAAAGTGAAAGTTTGACTTTTTCTTTGCCAGTTATGATGCCTTTGATTTCCTTTTGTTGTCTGATGGCTGATGCTAGGACTTCCAGCACTATGTTAAACAACAGTGGTGAGAGTGGACATCCCTGTC